AGGTCATCTAGTCCAATCCACTGTGAAGAACCCAAAAACAACAAGAAGGCACTTAAGTGCTTGAAATTGTACAGTTTTTAAGTCAGTGTTTGCTTTGTTACTGTTACTAGATTTCATTGGAGATAGGCTGGCTCCTCCATCTTTATACCTTGATAAGATCTGCCCTGAACCTTCACTTCTTCAAGATAAAGAGTCTGACCTCTCTCAGCTTTTTCTCCTACAGGAGATGCTCCTGTCCCTTTGTCATCATACTTCAGCTCTTGGCTGCACCCTCCCAGTATGCCCATGTCTGTGTTGCACTGGGGAGCTCAGGACTGGACACAGGACTCCAGGTTTGGCCTCACCAATGCTGAGGAGAAGCGAAGGATCACCTCCATGCTCTCTGCCTAATGCAGCCCAACATACTATTGGCTGACTTTGACTAAAAGAATACGGTGCTGGCTCATGTTCAACTCAACACCCGGCTCCCTGGGACCTGTAGAGGTCCTATATGTGGCACCCAGGCTTTAGACAGGTCTTTAGGACCCACAGACTGACTGCTGGTCAAAAAGCCTGGACACTCCTTCTCTGGTGACTGGAAGTGGGAGAGTGTGAGAGCACAAAGGAAACATCTTCTGTTGCAGAACTTACATTAAGTGAAACCATTGTGCACTCCAAGAAATTCTCCTGTTTGGGTTTCCTGTGCTGTTGAGACAGTGTTGGAAAACATTCCCTACAGTGGGATGTTTGGTTTTGGAACACACACCCCCTGAAAAGCACTTGGATAGAGGCCAATATGAGAGTGTCTATCCCAGAGGGATAGAGGGGGTGCAGCACCACTGTGCCGATTGAGGATGTGGGGAGTAGAAGCAGGACTGGCTGGGAACATCCCTGCTCTCAGTGGGATTCACACGGCCCAGGGACAGCAGCTGTGTAGGACCTGCAGCACCCGTGTAGGACCAGCAGCACCCTGGAGCCCAGCACAGGGGAGAGGAGTGCTGAAGGGTCTGCCTTTGCTCTGGACACAGAGTTACTACTCTCCACCATGCCAAATCTTGGAGACCTTTTCCTCCTCCTTCTATTTCCTTCAGCTATCTGATGTGGCTGATTCTGGAGCTCCTTACCTGCTCTCCCAGGCTGTTATAACAGTGGCCTGAGGCAACTGGCGATGAATATTTTGAGAGAGGGCTCTAAAGACCTCTTAGAGAGGCCTGGGATGTGGTTAGTGTGGGCCTTCATGAGGCTTCAACCTTTGAGAATGCCCTGATTTAACTTGCTAGAGTAACTTCCTAAAATAATTTAATTCAGACACCTCTGGTCAAGATCACATTACCACCTGTCCAACAAGAACATTTGGAGCTTTCATCTGTGATTTGTTGTAGTTATTATTTGTTCCTCTGTTTTAATTGTGGGAAATTATATTGACATTTCAAAGAATTTTGTATACATGGCTCCAAATGATTTTTTTAAGAGCTTAAGAGCACTACTTGTTTTTAATGGAATCCATTCAAGCCTTGATGAAACCTTCCTGTGGTTTGCAATAGAGGAACATTGATTGCAGTGCAGTTACAGCAAAATTGCTCTGCAAGTTCCCTTTCAATAACTAACTAGAACTAATTAACATTACTGGATAATTCACTACATGACTGTATTATACATTGTCTTTTCTCATGTTAATACTTTTACTGAGTGCATTAATGTTACAAATTAACTCTGTTGTAATTACACCATAATTAGACACACAGTAATACAACCAGAAAATTAGTGAGAACTGGTAATAACGAAGACTGTTACTACTCTACAATTGTATCTGTAATTACCAAATAACTGTGCTGTAGTTATGTAATTTGAAGAGATGTCAAAAAATTAATCCTTCCACCTCCATCTGAAAAAGCTTTGGTACTCACACACACACATCTATCTAATAGATATAAAATATATTAATTTACAAATTTTTTAAGGTGTCAGAAATAAGGCTCATTTTTTTCCTCACTGTAGATACATCTGCAGTATATCTCTGTTCACTCAAGAACCACACCCTTATATATCTGCTATTTCCATGCAAGAAATCATTCTGTTTTCCCTTTTAGACTTGCTAACGACTAACATTCAGTATCAGATATGGCTGTACTATTTTTGGGACATTTGTTAAAATATTCTTTATATGACTGTCACACAGGAGTACTGGGGCTGATCTATGAGCCCATGCAACTATCTAGATGAGTCCAAAACTCCTGCCACAGTGTGACTGGATTCATAGTAGAAGGAATTAACTAGTGGTAGGACTAACTGTGACTCCATGAGACCCAGTTGTTAAATATGAACACCAGGATGTTATTTCTGTTCCCAGCTTTGCTGATGATCCTGAGTAGATTCATGATTTTCCACCTTTTCTAAAGCATTTTGAAAACCATTGGTGGATGGTGCTTATCAATACTTGGATTTTATTTTGGAAGTTTTACATGAAAGAACACAGCTGAGAGATCTCCATGCCACCTTCTGACTTTCCCAGCTGTGTCCTTGCATTGCAATAACATGGAAGAATAGAAAGCCAGGTTTTCTGAAGCAGAATAAACTACAGGGAGATCAAGGAAGAGTCAGATTATCCCTTACGGATAAAGTCCCAATGACTTTCATATTACCAGGAAGCCCATTGATTCACTGGGGGTGAGAGTATGATCCTATAAACTGACTGCAACAGCAGGGTCGTGTTCTGCTTCCTCTGATAATCCTAGTATTCTAGAAATTATTAAAATCCATGGGCTTTCTTACTAGCAGTTAGGTGGAGTTTGTGGGTTAGAGGTTAATTTGGTACAAAAAAGAATATTTCTTTACTGATTGGAAAATGCTCTTCAGTCTTCACACATCTGCCTATTGGGTCATACAACGGTATGCATTTTGAAAAATACAATGAAAAGTACAGAATGATAATGCTAGGTCCTGCTTTTGTAGATTCTGCAACAGCAGAAGGATTAGTGGAAGAGGGAAACAGTAACTGGTTATATAAATTTTGTCAGAAATTAAAAAATTGCTTATTGACTTAAGATATAGCCAAGGAAATATGAATCACTAACTAAATATTTGGCAAATCTAGTATGGGCACAAATCCCTTTGCTGTAAAAGATTGACACAGAATATTTTATTAACATATTTTGCAAATTTAGACATTAGCCTCTAGTCAGCTGGGGAACTTTCTTAACTTTTAAATATAGTAACTGCTTGTTTTAGTGGCTGCTTTTTCTATTTCTACTAATATATGTATTTTTTTAATGAACACCGAATTATTGAATGAAGGTAGCATTAATACAGATAAATTTATTTTTCATTCTGGTAAGATGACATGAAGACACAGAATGTTTCACTGTTAGACTCACATTTACTTATTTTTAGTTGTGCTTTAGTATATTGGCTAATATTTATTTATCCTTTATTTCTGCAGAATCAAATTTGCATCTTCCATATATTAACATTTTGTATTACGTTTCTGCTGTGAAATACTTGAAAACACCTCTATCCTTCTATTAAAAATTTAGTCACTGGACATGAAACTGTGGTCTAGGATAAGAGTGTAAAGGTTTCTCTTTTTTCAAACAAAGTAGTAAGGATATCGAGCAAAATTTACCCTGTAATGGGGAGCTGAGGCCAGACCTTCTGACTTTATTCTGAATTCAGCACAACTTTGGACAGAATATAAAGTTTACAATCCTCTACTGAATACATGAAATCTATTGTTACTGAGCATGGAACGTGACTAAAGATTTCCCAAATAGTTCTGAACCATAAAGTTCACTAGTTGCAAGGACAGCCTAGCACACCATAGGAGTGGGTTATATGTGCTCAGAATAAAGTGCCAGAGAAAACATGAGAAATTTTCAATCTCTGAAGTTCTCTGAAAATATTGTCCCTCAAAGTTAATAAAATATTTAGTTCCTCAGCGTTATTTTCTCAGAACACTGCATGGTGTGCATTATTTTGTTTATTTCTCTATTTTTCTGCAAGACTCCAACTGAAACTATACCCTTAGCATTTTAGGCCAGTAATTCCTGTGCCCAGTGCTGTCATATAAAGCAAATTCACGGCAGGAACTCAACTCATGTAGGCTACTTGCTACACAGCATTTAGTGGTGACATGCAGGTGACTGGGGATTTTTCAAAAACAGGTAATTCTGAACCCTGATAGGCAAACACTATGATAAATATGTTTATTTTATGATATAGATCAGAACATAGCAAATAATTCTTCTAATGCCATAAGATGCATACTGAAATGGGAATGTGCTGCTAATACGTGGTTGGAAGACATTGAATGATGACACAACTATGGTTTTTACAATTAGGATTAATTACAAGAATTTCTGTCTGAACTGAGGAGATTATTGAAGAACTGTTAGGCAGAAAAATGAGGGCTTCTTTAATGTTGCAAACCTACGTCACCAGTAGTATGTGGCATGGGGAAAAAGACAAATGCAAAAGATGCAAATGCAGAAATGAAGGACATGCAAAATCTTTATGCCAAAATCTGGAAATTACTTTGTAAAAGGTGCTGCTAGATTCATCTAGAACGCCGTGGACAATTCTGTTTGTCCACGTTCAAGAACAATGGACTCAAACTACAAACACAAAAGATGAGTATGAAGATTTGGGAAAGAGACCCCAAGATGAGTTTGGCAAAATGAAAGCTGAGGTGTTTGTCTTTTATAGGTGCATGAAGGCAGGTAAAGATTACTCAAATAAACCAAAGCTCAATGTTAGTGCAAGAAGTAGGTGAAAAACTGGCCCCGATTCAAACCTACATTTGGAATTCAATGAAAGTTTATATGTCTAAGAGAAATTCTATGTTGAAATAACCTTTTTGTATTGGGATATGGTGGCTGAATTACCCTTAGTACCTTTGTACCCGATGTACTTATGAATGGAACTTCAGTAAGGTGCCCTCCATGACATCAGAGAACAAGACCCAGCGGCTTGGGAAGTAGTTCCAGTTCTAAGTCCTGCCCACACAACCTGTGTCAGTTAACTCTTAGCTTAGACTGTCCTGTCTCTCCTGACAGACGTGGTCAGACAGATACGTGTCCTGACAGATACGTGGTCAGACACCAGAATGTGGTTTGCTCACCTGCTTGATTTTAATGCTTTGACAAATATGCTGTCTAGTAGCTCAACATCTCATAGAAATTTCTGGTGGGTATTTGATCGTTAGAGCAACTGCTACAAAATCTGCAATACTGCAATTGCCAAATGTATGTTAATGCATTTTGATAGATTTCCCAAGGTTAACCAGAAATGATTTTGAGGTTTGAGGCTGATGATGCTGTGACTCATATTAATGACAAATGGCAGTAATACAGTTCTTGCAAGCAATTTTTAAGCCAGACACAATGCACAAAAGCCTAGCAGAAGATTTGACAGCAGGTAATGAGTTTACATTACAAACCTTAGATTAAGCTTAATGGTTGAGATGTAGATTTGGGGAATAATAATGGAAGATGAGTGCAGCCTTGCATTGTGGGGAGCATCTGCCTTTTGGAAAACCTTGAAGTAGATGAAGACATGGATAAACAGAGAAATCCTGACTGAGATCAAATTAAAAAAGAAACACTACATGAAAAGTGGAAGCTGGTATGGGCTTTCCAAAAGGAATATAAAGACAGTGCTCCAGTGTATTGGAATGGACATCGAAACTCAGCACTGAAATCGGTGACCAATGTGAAGGGCAACAAGATGGACCCCTGTAAAACTGAAAGCATGGGGAAGACTGAGGCACACAGGGCCTGTCTCGCTCTCTGGTGAGGCCTGAAACTTCTTCTGGCTGACACAGAATCTATGGGATGGAGCACTGCATCTTGTTGAGGAAGAAGAATTTAGGGAATACATAAACCAGTATACTGGCTGTAGGTGGGTAGGTTTTGGTAGTCGGGGGCTGCCGGGGGTCCCCTGTTAGGATCAGCCAAGGCTGCCCCATGTTAGACAGAGCAACTTCCAGCTGGCTCCAGCTGACCCACCACCAGGCACGGCTGAGCCCCACAGCCATGATGGTATTGCCTTGGGAACAGCTGGGATAAGGGAGGGCAGAATGGTCAAAGGAAAAGTGTGAGAGACAGCCCTGAGACCAGAGAAAGAAAAGAGAGTGCTGCATGGTGGTGAAGATACTGTGGCCTGTGGAAAACCAGTGCAAGAGGAGATGGATATTCCTGAAGGAGCTGCAGCTCCCGTCAAGACCCCACACTGGAGCAGGGGAAAAGTGTGAGGAGAAAGGTGCGGCAGACAGAAACAGCTTTGTACTGATGGTAACCAGTAGCCTCCACCTGCCTCTCCTCACGTTGCTGAAGGGACTGAGTAACCTGTGGGGATAATAAGTAGGAAGGGGTGGACTCTGGAGCGATGGAATGGAGCCTGGGAAGAGGTAGAGAGAAGGTGGTTTTCCTAATTGTGCGACTAATTTCTCTAAGTGTGTATAAAAGCCAGGTTTCCTTCACAGGTGTAAAGGGGAGTGTCTCTGCTCTACTGAATGGTACAACTCTCCCCATGCACAGCTGCTCAGCACTGACTTTGTCCGGGAGAAAATGCACTTGTCATGAAACACATGGGTAGTCTTTTTGAACTGAGTGAGGCTCAACCTACTCCAGCAAACCACACAGTCGTATACAAAAGCTGCAGAAGGCAGCATCCCACGCATCCCATGGAGTTTTCAAGATGTTTAGCAATTGAAAATAGAGCTATTAAAACTTTGTGAACGATCTGATATTTTGGGGGTAGAACAGGATGAGATGCAGAAGAAAGGTGTCCATTTAAGAGTCTGCTAGTATATTTTCTTTACCCTACTCTTTCTTAAGAGGTCTTTTCTCAGTCTTAGTTTTCATAGTTTTGCTGATGCCATGGTTTCATCCAGTTTGTTCTGAGCAGAAAGTGAGTGAAAAACTTACTGATTTTGAGCTAGGTTAAATAAGAAAATATTTTAAAAACAAAGTAACTAAGCTTTCTGCATAATATTTGTACTTTTGACCTTCCTAGGAAAATTACATATTCACATTCATTAGTTCTACTTTTTGTCATTTTGACAAATGTCAAATGTTTTTACTGGAAAAAAGCTTTTTGCAGTATTGAAAATTTTAATGGGTGTGGTAATGGAGAAAATGTCCCTTTTTTGACTTTATTTAGAAAGTTATATTTGATATCAGTGGACAAAATGAAATTGCTATTCTTTCTGTCCCTTTTTCTTCCTCTCTCTTCTACCCCTGGTATTCCAGGCTTTAATCAAATCCTTAATGTCACTTAAATGCAATTTGTATTTAACAGATTTAGGTTTCAGTTAAATACCTCTCAGTTATCTGAACTCAGTGATTTGGAGAAATGCTGTAGTAGAGCTTCTGAGACTGAAGGCTTAGAGAAAGCTCCAGGGCTCAACAGCTCTGAAATTATGCTGCTCTGTATGGAAAATGGCATCTTGCTTTCTCTTAGCAGAAAAATGTCTCACCAATTTGAATAATTGTATGTGTTTTGTCTTAAAGAAATTGTGTTTCATGTAAGATAATACTTGGGAAAGGTCAGATCATTACTCTCACTCGATTGCTCATTTAAACTAGATGCTTCCAAAAGGCATTTGGAAGAAAGTTGTGTCTGGGGAGGGAAAGTAGGAACTGAGAAATGATTTGTTCCTTTCCCAGATCTGCTTTACATCCTCATCCTTCTCATATTAATATTGGTTTCATCTATGGTCAGCTACTGCATGGTAAGAATATGTGCTATGTCTTTGGACAAAATATTTTTGTCAGAAGCTCAGCCTCTACACTTTCTGAGGCTGTCAGATGCTCTGTGTTGTTGCCAATGCACTTTGGAGTAAATGTGAACCAGCAGTGGTCAGTTTTTCTGCATTTACCATCACCACCAAACACCTGGGCATAACACTTCACCCTGTCTGAACTTGCAGCCCTTTTTAACTGTGCTCCTGCAGAGAGCCCCAGACAGATTTGAGCTCAATTGAGTGTAAAATAGAAGATGCAGTGAAGAACTGATAATTATCACACATTGAGCTCTTGGTTGCTGGTGCTGCCTAAAAAGTAAGAACATTTTTATTATGACTCCTTAATTTCTGCTACCTAACTTTTCCTGCCGATGTGGACATCTTCCCACATTGGGTGTACACTTAGGCTGAGTATTTTGGGAAAATTTGAGCAAAAAAAAAGCTCAGTCATTTCAGCAGAATGAAATTAGGGGAAGAACACATTGCTTGTCAACACTTTTACAGCCCTTTAGTTGTCAATTTCTAATGTACCCATGAGGTAAAGCAGAGATGCAACATTTGAGATGTGGGTTGGGTTTGTGACAAAGATGTGCCTTTTCTTTACTTTTTAAAAAAATGCTAGCCCAGTTTGGAGAAATGACCTGGAAAAATACTAGGTTGCACATGTTCTGTAGTGACTAGTGTACACATGGTGGGTAAATGCACTAGAATCCATATGGAGAGATGTTTCTCTATACCATCCATGGTGCATCTGAAAATTTCCTAGAGTTACTTTTCCTTATTTCCAAAGGTGTGGTGTGACTGAACACAGATATACAAAGCAAGGAGACTTTTTTCCCTTTTTCTTTCTTTTTTTTTTTTTTTCTCTTTCATAGGAATGCATAAGTTGCAGCCCTGGTATAGACATAAGGACAATTATTAGATTAAGTTAGAACAAGAACCTGTAATATATATTGGAGGGAAGAGCAGCAGCCAGTTTGTGCAGGCTTTGTATGAAAAATACGGGATTTGGGTAAAGAAGCTGAGGATAAGGTTGCTGTACTGGATGAGTAGAAGGCTGGAGGACCCTGTGATGCTACAGAGAAATTTAATTTGAATGTAAATTTGAGGGCAGTAGAAAGGCTGATGGGGGAAGGGAGTTTAAAGCCTTTGGGGAGAAGCTGAGAATTGGAGGCAATTTTTTAAGAAATGCTAGGATTCAGATCCCAAAACAGAAAACGAGTGATGAGATTGAGGATAAAATAAGGGACTGGGTAGAGAAAGAAACAAGTAAATTCAAGTACAGACCATTTGGGGATGGGGAGCAAGTGCAGTAGGTGCTGTGTGCATGGCAATATGGATTATCCACAAGTTGGGAAGTTGAGGGGAGAAATAGGGAGGACAAGAAATTGTGTATGTGCAAACCCTCCAGGCCAATGTGCTAATCTTGGTGATGGAACTGTGAAAAGTGGTACTATTCTTTGTTAACTGTGGGAGAGATTTTTCCCTTCCTGCTGCCATGTAATTTCTCCCCACCCTTGCAGGAGTTAGCCTGGATTTTTGAGATGTAGGCAAAATATGTAAAAGAGTGCTGTCAGTGTTTTGTCATGCTGGATAATATCCTGGGCTGGCCTGCTGAGTATGCTAAGAGTTGTTAAGTATGATAGGAGTTGTTTCCTAATTCTGTGCACTAATAAGATCTTATATTACTATTTCCCCAATGTGGAAATGGAGGTAATGCAGCCACCGATTTAGTGAGATGTTATTAAATTTACAAATGTATTATCCATAAAGTCGGTTGTCGTAATTCTGTGAAAAATACAATGCCATTCCTTTCTTCCCCAGAGCTGGATTTATGTTTTTATTATATATTTTCATGGGACTCAACAAATGAGAGCAAATCTAGGAAGCCAGTTATACTTGCCTTGCTTCTTGGCTTTTGATGGAACAGATGTAATGACCTTTACCTAGACTGTAGTTAAAATTGAAAATGTGCTCAGAACACTTTTATTTTAAATGTGCTGTCCTGTTTTCTGAAAAAGAAAGAAAACCTACTGAAGGTAGGGATTTTAAGGGTTAGTCAAACTCATCAATCTTTTCATATGCAGCACTGTGTGTGAAGAGGTTTTCTTAAGTTATTCTCAGTAGCAGAGAGATATAACTACTCTGTGGACTTGCTGTTATCTCCAGTTTTGAAAGAAGCAGCTTGATTTTCTGCAATTGTAATTTAAAGCCAGGTGGGAAATTCCTCCCATTGCTCTTTCTTCCTGTTTGAAACTTACTCCAAATTGCAACAATTTTACATCATTAAAAAAAACCCTACTTGTGAAGACTTTTCTTTTACAGTCTGTGTGCCCTTTAAGAATATTTATGGGGTTATTTCCACGTAGGTGCACATGTAACTCCCATTAACTTTAATGGGGTTTTAGGTGGATGCAAGAAGAAATTAATATAGAGTTACCGTGTTTGGAGGAAAGTGGACCAGTCCTTTATTCAGCTGAGATTTCATTAGAATTTCAGATGACAATTTTTAAGAGGGGGCTTGGGGGGGCCTATGTTTCATAATGTGCCTGTGGCAAAATAAGTGCTTAATCTGGCCAGTATGATTTCTTTTCTTGGTGGGATGTTCAAATTTGAAGTTGCGTTCTTACTACCAGTGCACTGAATGTGTCTCTTTTATTTTCTGTTAACTGGGGAAAAACATATTTCATTCTTGGCTTTTTTTTTTTTTTTTTGTCTGCTAAAGTAATTATAAAATGTAAATGAATACATTGTAAGCCAAATCTGAATTACAAATATTCTGTCCCGATTTTTGTGTGAGTGCTATGCAAATTGTGTTCATCTTCAAGAGCTGCGGACATGGATAGGATTTTGTAATAAGGCATCTGCTAAAGTCTCCTGGGTTTTTTTTAAAACTGAAAAGCTTCCACATTTCAAATTTGGAAAAGTTGTATATATACATACATATATACATATATATATACATACATATATATATGTATATAGGCTTATATACATATATGTGTATATATATGTATATAGGCATACATGCTCACTCTCTCTGTCTCTCTCTCTCCATATACATATATATATATATAAATATATATGTGTATATATATACCTATATGTGTGTGTATATATATATGTGAATGGTAATACTTTAGGGTAGCTCTTCTTTTATTTCAAAATCAACCAAGGTTTAGGTTGGATATTAGAAAAAGGTTCTTCCCCCAGAGGATGGTTGGGCACTGGAAGAGGCTCCCCAGGGAAGTGGTCACAGCACCAAGCCTGACAGAGTTCAAGGAGCCTTTGGACAATACTCTCGGGCAGGTGGTGTGACTTTTGGGGATGGTCCTGTGAAGGGCCAGGAGTGGGACTCAATGATCCTTGTGGGTCCTTTCCAGCTCAGCCTACTCCGGGATTCTGTGATCTGCACTCTGAAGGTGGTCAGTGGCAAGAGCACCTGTGCTATTGCAGACTTTCAGTTCTGTGGTTGCCCTGCCCTGAGCAGCTGAAGAGCTGTCTTGTCACTTCAGCTCATGGAGGTTGTGGTAGTGGGAGGTTTCTGTTGGTTGGTTTGATTGATAAAATCTTCCTTGTATCTTGAGCATACTCACTGATGTTTAGATGGTCTCCTAATTACAGATAGTTGATAGAATCTTCTAGAATAACTTAAAATGCTGTCACGGCTGCTTACAGCAACCCAGCTGCTGTTATGCCCATTGCAGTCCTGTAGATTCTGTGGGGGGAAGAATGCCTTCTACATCCCTTATCAATGACCTTAGTTTAATTACAAGTTTGCAGTAAAATTAACATTGTTCGTATGCAGGGTTTCTAAATTTTTGACCAAGATAGCTGAGTTTTTCAGATCTTGCATAATTTAGGAGTTATTTTTCATCTTAACACAGTGCAAAATATAAACATTGATTTAGCAACAATTTAAAGACTATGGAGATCATAGTTAAAGCAGTTAAATACGTAGAAATTAAGTAATAAGGCCATGATTTCTTCCAGTCTTTGAGTCATTGCTTTTTTTTTTTTTCTTAGAAAACATTGCACAAACATGACTTTGGCATTTGATTGAAGTGCAGTATTGTTCAGCTTCAACACATTCTGACATCTTTTGCAGATCAATTAAAGTGCAACAGTGTGGAAGCAATAAAAATGAAGATGTCGTTTTATCCTTAGCTTAGAATAAAAGGAAATGCATTTGAGGAAAAGGATGAAAGAGAAATAAGCTGTTTGAACACAGTCAGCATAACTTTTATGTATATATAAAGTTGTCTGATACTACTCCATGAAGTAAGAATAAAAGAACAAGTAGACAGGAAGAATTTACAAAGTAGAAGAGGAGGAGCAGAAGAATAAGATTATATGTGCAGTATCCAAGCCATCAGCCAGAAAGGACCATGAATTTGGTTTAGAAGTGAGAAATTGAAAAATAAAATCTTAAAAAACAAGGAGTGAATAAATGGACTAGCTATTGACATTTCTGAAAGAAAAATACTATTGTGACTGAAATGCTCTCTCTGAAGATGAAATCCCCGATCCTGCATGTGTACTTAATTATATAATCAACTTGAGCTTGTCAGTGGCTTTCAGGTGGATACAAATGCAGTGACTGTAAGCAGTCACTGTCACAAATGGGTATGCAAAATGAAAGACTTAGTGCTTACTGTGGGAGCAATTGATAATGAAATAGAAAGGATTTTTACTAACTTCCTTCTGGCAATTTTTTTAAGAGTATTTAATGGAAATATTTATGTGCTGATTTTATTTTCCTTAATAAACAAACACCTTTAGAAATAGTAGATGGATGTGAAGCTGTTTGATACTTAGTAGAAGAGATTGATGTGCTGAATTTTCTCCAGGTTTCTCCAGAAAGCTAAGTAGTTAACAGAATTACTGTTACTAAAACCAACTGTAAAAATATTTTTCTGAAAAAATCTGTAGGTTCAGCTGGAAATATCAAGAAAAAACAATAATTTCTCTTGGAGTCTACAAATAATGTGTGTGCTTTGAAACATAATACATATTCCCATTGCACCCAGTTATACTATCACACATCACTAAGTAAAGCTGATCATTAAGAAGGTACATTTTTCTATTATTAGGTTTAGTGACACGAGATTTAACTGGAAGCATAGGAAAAATACTTCATTATGATTTATATGTTTTGTTCTTTGTTTTTCTCTAGTAGAAGGTGCAGGTAATTTTAAAGGTTTCCAATGTGGAGAGGGAGTGACTCGGAGGAAGAACCTGGAATGATGTTATATATGCAGGTGGAAAATGACAAGGAGACAGCTTTAAATCACAGTGAGAACTGAGTCTGCACAGCCAGATCCGTGACCTTTGGGCAACAAGACTTTATTTGTGTTAAGCCTTGTTCAGTGCTGGTGTAGGTTGTGAGAAGGCTGTTATTAAATTTTTGGTTTTTCCTCATATCTTACTTGACATGGATTGTTTTAGTTCCCCCTCCATCAAACTATAACAGCACAAAGAAATGGTGAGCCTAGACTTGTGAGTACGTGTGTTTGTTTCTGGTTCTGATTTTTATCACAAACTGCTTCTTTTCCTGTCTCCTACCTATAAAGAGGCATACAATGTAAAAGTACTCCCAAACTCACAGCTTCCAGGCAACTGTGGGTGCCTTGGTTTTCACTTTTGCTCTGAGACAGATTAGAGGTCTGTGCTTTTTGTGGAGACTTTACAGATAATTTTAATTTTATGTAGTTTTGAAAGCTCTGAAACACAAAACGTCTCAAAAAATGAAGTTACTCCTGTCTATTCAGGTCTAGAGGGCTGCAATGTGAACACAGAAGTAGGAGTATTCTTATATCCATGCTCACTAGAGTAAGCATGGATAACTTTATACTCACTGCAAGAAGTTTTCCCGAGACCTTAGGTACTTCACTAAAATTCATTGATTTAAGATGGGCCATGTAGTTCGTGGGATTAGATCCTAATGACAGAAGTTGAACTAAATTATGCCCTAATAATTTGGAAGTTTATCCAAATTCTTACAGTGAAACCTCTCAGGGTGTGTGTGTAAATGTGTTTGGGTATTTTTGTGTGTGTGTGTGTGTGTGTGTGTACGTGCACATCTTGGTTTACTAGCCTTTTATACCAAATACCCTTTTAAGGAGATACGTTCAAATATAAAACTTCTTTTCCATGAAAATACAGCCTGAAGATAAGCAAGAAGCTCATCTTAAAGCCAAAGTTATATTTATCTTTTCTCCTGCCACCAACAGGGCTCTTGTAAGTACAGTTTTCTCTCCTGAAGATCTCCGAGGCTTAATAAGTCCATATTCCTCTGTTTGTCCTCTTTATTGTGATTATGTTGAAATGTTTTATGTTTTAAAAGCAAGTACAGGAAACTGATTTCAGAAGATCCCAACAGCAGAGGAACTGTGATTCCGCAAAACAATATACCAACTCATTTTATTATTCCTATACATTAAATAGTCTGCAGGTTGCCTGTCTATGCAATAGACGTTGCTCTACCATACTTGCCTTGTAGATATTTACATAGGAACTTTATAAAGCTAAATTTTTGCTTTTAAGAATCACATCTACTTCTCTTCAAAAAATATAATAATCCATTGTAATTTCAAATACTTTTTAAAACATGCAAGTTTGTTAAAAACAATGACTATGACTTTTTAAAATAAACTGATGATATTGTAACATATTGCCTAGAAGTATTAGGGCCTTGGGCTACAGGTTGGAACTTTTTTCTAACAAAATCCAACTTGATTCTTTTGTCCTTCCTTTTCCTCAGAGCTGCTCCCCATTCAGTTAGCTCCCAGCCTGTACCAGTGCCAGAGCATTTTCCTGTGCACATGGAGAAACATCCATTTGTCCTAATTTTTAATTTCATGAAGTTCTCATTGGCCAAATCCTCCAACCTGCCTAAACCTCTCTGAATGTAAATCCTCCCTATAACGCATGAACCTCCTGGTTTGAGATCATCTGCAAACTTCCTATAAGTTCACTGTGAAGCCTCCTCCAGACCACTACACAAAGTTTTTAAACAGGGAAAATCCCAGCATAGACCCCTGCAGTACTCCACTGTGGGTATGTGCTGGGAGTAAAAGTGGTGACTGAATGAACTCTGAAAGGTAAGAGGTTAAGGCGCTCAGTAGCCAGTGATAGAAATTTCTTCATGTTTATCTATTTTTTTCTTCTTTTCTTTCTTCTTTTTTTTTTATTTTTTAATATGTTCACACCATTTTCTAAATCCTAATCTATGACCTTTGTACTCAGTTTATTAGGTAAGACTTGCCACTGGTGCATCTGCAACCTTAAAGACTTTAGTTTATCACTTGACACTTGTGTAGAATATTGACCTGTCATCCTATTACCTCTTTCTGACTAATCTCAGCCCTTTGCAGCCAAAAAGACCTGTAAACTTGTTATAAACAAATAAAAATCAGGGTTCTTTGAATTACTGTTATGCTTTCTGTCTGGATCCCTTTTACCGGATGCAGAGACTTTGCTAGTAGGACAGGCAAATCTAAAATGTGTAACACAACTTCCTGATACAGACAGTCAATAATAATAACCAGTGAGCAACTATGCTAAGCATTAGTCTGGCATGAAACTAATGTGGGTAAAGAAATGTGTAAAAATTCTTTTGGTGTGTGTAAATGATTTTTACTAAAATTTCATTTTTTTCCAGAGTGATTATCTCTAGCTGCCATTATGTTTCTTTTGTACTTTTTTCCTCTTATAAAGACCTGGCATATTCCTCTGGAAGCTGAGGAATGAAGACAACTGTTAATTAAAAGATGAAGAATATTGTAAATTGGCCTGTGCATGAAATGCAGTGATAAAAATAGCACAGATATATTATGTAATTGGCTGTATGGTCATGCATGGAAATTCCTGAGTTAAACTAGTAAGTGCAATAGTGAAGAGCATGTAAAAACTCTTTAATTTTTAGTTCTTATAATTTTTCCAAAAATTTAGATTACTACCTCTAAATGAGTGAAGTTGTTTCTCAGCGGTAAAATCAGGTTGCAGAACTGCAATTATGTTACCCTGAGACCTCTTGAAAGAACTGAGATTTATTCTGACTTAGTGGGAGAATGAGGTTTATTGACTCCAGTGAGGGATAAAAGAGGTTGTATTGGCAAGGGAAGATGTATGCACCTACTACATATTTTAAATCACAGGGCAAATTGACTGATGCCAGAATTAATCCTCACTCGTTTTGTTTGTACTCTCTCGAATATTCTCAGGGACCCAAATTAAGAGGATGCTTTGTTAAAATACTCACTTTGCTTTTGTTCAAGCTACTTAATCTAGTCATTTGCTAAAGGTCTTTTAGCAGGATGGTTGCATTTTTCATGATAAGTTTCCATTTTGCCCTCAGTTTTTCTGGCAAAGGTTTGGAGTAGTATATCTCCTTTAAACAGAGCATCTATTGTTCAAAGAGATGGTCTCAGTAGTTTTGCCATTTTATTGTCTCAGCAGCACAATTCCACCTGGTTAGAGGGTGAAGGAGAGCATTTTCCAACCATTTCTGGATACCTTTCCTTTCCATTGTGGTAAAACAAATTTTCCTCCAAAGGAAATATTGGAGTCTTCCTCTTGAACATTCTGTGTTTATCTGACTGAGACTAAACAGCAACTCCAAAACTTGAGAAAAATGAGGTTTATACAGATCTCTTGCATCTCGCTGTACATGAATAGGAAATATCTTCCTGTTTTCCTACTCAGGAAAGACCTTGACGCCCTAATTTGCTTTTCAACCTTAAAAGCAGTAATAATATGAATTTCATAATGGTTATTTTTCCTGGAAGATTCACTGAGGAGCCTAAGAAGTTTTCCTTGGGGCGGAGGTGAGGTGTTGAAGTTTTTCAAGAGAGAGAGCTCTCATCTCTCTGTTTCTGATGCTTTTGAACTAAATAGCTGTTGGTAAAAGCATATTTTTGTTTTTAATTACTTCTTTAATTTCTTCTCCCTTTTTACAGATGTCATTGTAATTCCACTGCCTGTGTATCTGTCCAGTAGGAATGTGCACATCCAAGTCCTGTGGGCCAAATTTCTTGGGCACATATATGCAGAAGCGTTTTAGTTCCTGGATACTTTAGGGAAGATTGCACAAGTTACTGCATACCAAGGCCCTTATTGTATCCTCCAGCACATACTCTGCCTGGCAATGGGCATTTTCCAAGGATGTGCAGCTACTCTCACAACATTTCCTAGGGATTGCATGCACAGCAAAATTCCCAAAAGAACTCTGCAGGAGAACTCCTTTAGCAGTGGCACACTAGAAATAGGTTGTGCTAGAGGGGGTGGCCTCTCCCCTGCAGAGATAACTCTGTCTCCATCTCTCCCCGACTGAAGTAAGAACCTGCTTCACTCCCACAGTGAAAAGAAGAAATCTGCTACAGCATCTGCAAGCCTCTGGCTTAATACCTTTCAGAGAAAGTCTGGTTGCCCACCTAGAATTCCTGCTATG